TAATTAAAGATGACTTATGTAAAGTTTTCATTAGGTTTCTGGGAGACTTTTGTGGAATGGCTCATGGCTTGTATCTCTTCTTATTTTCTTTTCCCTTTAACATTAATGATTTCCAGTGTGGCTTAAGAAGGTTGAGATAGAGGGACCCCATTTCACCTTACTCGTTCATTATTGTAGCTATTTGTTTTTTCCTGGTCTTACTAACTCCACTATGACCGAGAGTAGATTAAAAGCCATCAGTCTCTAGAAATGCCTCCATATTGACTCATCTTTTCTTTGCAGATGACTCATTATTTTGTCAAGCAGCGCCCCAACTGGCCTCAGTCATCCTTAAATTATGCAAAAATACTTTTTTTTTTTGTTGCCTGACAAAAAGTTACTCTGGATAAATCTTCTATATTCTTTAGCAAAAACATCCCCTTTATATTCACCTAAACATTTGTAACCTCCTAAAGGGTATCCAAGTTCAATAATTTTCTAGATATCTTGAATTGTCCTTAGGAATTTGCCACTCCAAAAAAAGAAACTTTTTGTACTGTAGTTGATGTTGTGACGAGTAGTGTCTATACTTGGAAGAATATTTATTCTAATGTTGGAAAGGAAATTCTCATTAAACCTATCCTGAGTGCTCTCCCCATTTTTGTAATGTCTTGTTTTAAGCTACCTATCAGCTTGTGCAAAGACAACTCTCAAATTTTTGCTAAATTCTTGTGGATCAAAGAGGAGAATCACAACAAAGGTGTGCATTGGATGGCTTGGAACCTCATCACTCTTTTTGTGGATAATGGAGGAATAGGTTTCAATGATATAAAACTCTTCAATGAAGCTTTAATTCTAAAACAACTTTGGAGAATTGGTATAAAGCGAAATTTATTGGTAAGAAAGGTGCCGAAGTGTGAATATTTTCCAAATATAGTATTTTTACACTAACCCTCCTGAAATTTGTTCCTGGCTTTAGAGGAGAGGATGTGCGCTAAGAATTCTTTTGAATAGAGATTCATAGTTGAAGTAAGAGATGAGAAAACAACAAAATCTAAGATCATTGTTGGGTCTAATTCATGAAATCACTTAAACCTATCTACAGATAAGAAAGGGGAACTCAATTGAATTGGATTTGGGAGTTGATGGTAACAAATGGAATGAAGCTCTGATAAAAAACATCTTCTCGATCTCTGAAAGTGAAACCATCATGAAGAAAAACACCATGAATAAATACAAAAATAATATAGATTTGTCTGGAATCATGTATAGAAAGCCAACTTTTCTGGGTCATCCCCCTATGCTAAGTTCATAAGTGAAAAAGCGATGAAGCTGGACGTTGCAGAAGACATTACAAGTGCCAACTAGATTCTACGAGTCATAAAGAAAAGCTGGAAAATGCACATCAAAAGAAAAATGAAGCACTTTATGTGGAAGTGCTTCTTTGGAATTTTTCCTACAAGCACTTATCTCAGAAAAAAAGGTGTTGAAGTGGACCCCATCTGCAAAGTTTATGGTAGGGATGTGGAAAAAACTAGTAGTTCTTCTTCAATTGTCCCAGAGCTCAAAGAGTTTGGAAGATGACCCATAATTGCTGCTTCAACATGACACATAAAGCTTCAAAGGATGGTGATAAAAGGTGTGCTTGCTTGACAATAGAGATGTTGCAGTGGAAATAATATAACTCACCACCTATATCCTGTGATGGCTTTTGAAATCGAGGAACCTATGGGTCTTAAAAATTCTTTTGAAACCTGAAAGGCCACCCTTGAAGCTGCTATTCTTGATTGAAGGAAATTCTCAAATTGCTAGTTCTATCTGGAAGTCTTGGTTTAGTTTCTTTTATTTCTGTTGGACTTTTCGTTTTCTTTATGCGGCTAGCTTCTTTGTTGGTCCAGTGGCTAGATTTTTGTTCCATTGCCTTGTCTTTGCATTCTGATATGGCAACTAAGGGCTTTAATATCTCTTATTGCCCGGTAACTTAGATATATGTGTTGTAGTTATTTTGTTTTCTAGGCAATGGTGAAGTAGTCGTTTGTACAACTCTGGTTGTGATAGGCTAGTATGCTTACCGGCTCTGTAATTATCTTTGGTTGACCGTCATTTCTATCTCTTTGAAAAAATAAAAATAAATGGAATTTATGTTTTTGATGTATTTGCATCATGAGTAAACATACATGTATTTTTAACGAAACGACAAGTACGATTATATTAGCCTCATAAGAAGTATAGCCGACAATCAATTGGTTACAAAATGATGTTTCTAATTGTCAAGAGGTAGAAATAGACAAACCAACAGGGGAGTTACTAACATTAGAGCTCCTCCTCCAAATAAGGGACTAACCCTACAAAATTTACCCAAACATGGAAAACTAAAATACTTCATAAAGGAGACTAGCATATTCCACAATGAGAGACTAGAAACAAAATAAACATCCACATAACAACAAAAATGAATAAAAGAACACTAGTAAGCCAAAAAATGACCTCCCCCACTTCAATCAGACTTGACATATCGTCTTCCCAAAAGCCTAAAGACTCGACAACCGCTTGCAAATGGACACCGTCAAAACTTAAGAGCATAATTTAACACTCTTAGAAGTCTTCAGACGTATACATGAACCCCAATTTGCAGATCCAACACTCTGAAACCTAAGAACTCAAACAAGGGAATGACTAAACAATCTAGTGCAAACATACATCTTGATTTCTAGTTATTTCTTAGTTTGAGTGTGCTACAGTATTAATTTTGAATATGCAAGCAGTACGATGATGGATGTAATCTTATTGAAATACATTGCCTTAGGTAGGGGCCAGGGGCATAGCCAGGAAAATTAATCACCCTGGCTGATCAAACTTGTACAAGAATAATAAAATAAAAAAAATTAAATAGAAACAATTTAACTTACGCTTAAAATGCTTTTTTGTTTTGTTATATTATTCTATTTTTTAATTATTCCGAGCCAATATAATTGAAATTTTTTAATGATCCTAATTGATTTATATTTTATAAAAAGTAAATACTTATGAATTTTACAACAATATAGTTTGATTGGATATCAAAAAAAATAAGTAAAGTTTGTTTTAACAATAAGAATTTGTGAAGAAAAATTATAAAAATTAGTAAAAGAATTTAAATGGAGTAATATTCATTATAATTAATACTTTATGAAATAGGCAAGGAATAAGTTATTTAATCGAAAACTTGTATCAAATTATCTCATAGCTTTAGCTCGACATTTTTCTTCTCTTCTTTGTTCTCATATTTTTCTTACATTCTTATTTCATATGTTTTTACAATTTTACTCTTTTATTACACTTTTAATTATGTTTCCATTTTTTGTTCAGAGTTATTCAATATCAATAGGGATTTAAAGTGAATTAGTTCCATTAATTTATGTAGAAAACAAAATTTCATATAGTTGTTTGCCCACTAAAATGGGTTTAAAGAAATATTAAATATGTTTACTAAATCCAAAATATAATAAAGAGAGGCAACACCACCCCATTCAACTCAAATATGTTCATCTAATGGGCTTGGTTAGAATTTAAACTTGACTCCAATTTATGTATACATATATAAATCAAATAAATGAAACATTACCCCAGCTGTATACACATATAAATCAAACAAATGAAACGTTACCTCGGGCTGGAGCCCATCCTATGTTATGGCCTTATGGGTGGCTCCGCCCCTGGTAGGGGCAAAGATATTCTTATTTCCAAAACCATTGATCTAAAACCTCAAAGAATTGGAATCAAAACCGAATTGTGCCAATCACGGTTTGAAGCGGGTTTAATAACCAACGGTTGTTGTTCGTTTCTGAACCATTGTCTT